TATATATATATATATATATATTCCATTGGGTTACTCTTCTTCTAATTCTACATATTATTTTAAGATATACGATTGTTTTGGGAACTCAATGGTGAAAATGTTTTACGGAATTTTTTGTTATATCAAAATTTTTAATTTACTCCCACTGTTAATGTATTTATCTTTAAACCAAAATTCAATAATATTAATTTAATGAAGAAACAAAGTTATAAAGGGCGAAATTTTCTAAAAAAAGATAAAATACGAATTTATATCGGTTCCATTAAAATACACGATTTTTTGAAGATCTTTTGAAAAACTCGGAGTTCTTAACAGATCTCAAAAAATCGAAGATTTTTAAAAAAAATCGTGTTTTAAATATAAACTTGCTAACTATGGTTTCAGCAAACTGGTTTATATGTATGGAACATAGCTGTAATTGCTAGTTACTTTTGTTGATAATTTGATAATGAAATCTTCTTCCTCCTCCTTGGTGTAGAGAGAGAATTGCCATCCTTGTGTACCGAGAATACATTGAGTCGGAAGGTCATCCTTGTGTATTACAAGTACCTTGAGTTTGGTAAGAGTTGTGGACCAAAAATACGTTTTCTCTTCATTCCCTTGATTGAGATCAAGGAAGCCAGGTTGTTGCACAATTACCCTCAGATCTATACTTTTTAGTATCGGTTTTGCACTAAGAAATGAGACAAGAATTTGAATCGGTGAATTATGAAACTGTAAGAGGAAGAATGGTTTCTAGATGTGTGGAGACCTATTAGAAACACAATTGACAAAGTGAAGAGAATTCAAGGAAATGCATGTCTAATAGAAAGGATCATCAAAGATATTTAAGATGATTCTAGCTCTGACAAGAAATTTGTATGATATAAATCTTCCATGCCAAATACTTCACTGATCAATCTGAAGCTTCAACCTTGATAAATTTATCTTTCATTATCTTGAGTATCAAATAAAAGTCAGAGCCAATACTTTTTTCTATTGGAATAGTCCGGTCTTGATTTGTAGAATCGTTTCCGCTTGTTAGGAAAAAAGAAATGAATTAATGTCCTTCTGGGGAAATGTAGAATAATACACCTACCGAGACAAAAGCCAAAGGTTTGTCTCGTAGGTCAACACATCGAAGCGACATAAGAACTCAGATTTACATATTGATGCACTGATTTACCATAATAATAAATAGAGCTTGTATTCATTTTTTTTTCCCTTTCCAACTCTAATGTTCATTGAATTCTTCCACCATATTGATTACACCATAAATTTCATCAAACCAAGAGATTTCACTTTGATATACTCCCCATCCATACCAAAGTGACTTACATAAAAAACACTCTTGCTTCTAATATGATAAGAATAATAAAACAGTGGAACAGGAAGAGTTTTGAATGTGAATGCCGCTATAGCTACTCTTTTGTTTGTTTTTTTTTTTCCTTTTTCTTTTTTTTTGACAAAGCCGCTATAGCAACTCATATTTTGTTGCCTACATTTTCTTTCACATTTCATCAGATGCATGCAAAATGTACTAGCCTAATGTAGACGAATTCTAATTTTAAACTTCATCAAGTATTTATGAAAGGAAAAAGCTAGGGAATTTAGGCAAATAATAAAAGATGTTTTAATGGTTGCATGCAGGCAGTGCAATCACAAGACTACCAAACTGCATATGAGAATATTTAAACCCATGGGAACACCAGAACATGACAATGAAAAATTATAAGAAGTCAAAAATACCGGTTGTGCATGCATATCCCTCCTTCCTGACTCCGAGTTAAAAAGCATGCTAGGCCGGCGATTGTAATCCTGCAACCAAAGCATTATGATAAGGAATTCACAGTTTTACACATGATATGTAGTGAAATAATATGAAGAATCAGAGCAGAACTAGACATCCTAAATTAGTTCAGGTATACATGACAACTAACAGGAAAGGGAATGAAAGGTTAACATATAAAAAAGCTACTTACTGATTCCAAGTTACATTCAAAGCCAATGTTGAAGAAAAGGATATAATTACCTATCCTTTGAGGGGGGAGCCATTACCATCAATTAGCGGTATTGGTCGATAAATCAGGAAAATTAGGCGTAGAGTTTTTATTTTCTGAGAATTCTTCAATATCTCTTAGAAATAATGGATTCATATTTAATACATCAATATATTATAAAAGTAGATAAATTTAAAACAAGCACAACTTTAGTCTATATGACCTGATATTCACCAAATACCCCATGATGGTCATCGTATCATGATTGGCTGGACCTCACAACAATATGTATCTGATATGATCACAATTTCTTGAATCTTGACTAAAATCATTCTCCCAAAAAATATACAAGCAATCACACAACAATAGATACTATCAGGAGGATGTTGCCTTTCTGGGAGGCGACGACGCCCATGTGCATGTTCAGCAACTGCACCACCACAATCAGTTTCATACACCATTTCCCCATATGTAGAGTTCCTCTGAGTTATTTTGTTGTTGAGGTTTGTAGTGGTGGTGATGCCCATCACAAAGTGGCAGGGGAGACAAAGGACGTGGTATCTATTGATCGCGCCTGCAGTCTGCACTTTCAGTGTGGGAATAATGACTGCTTAGAACATAATAACAGAATGGATGACCTCACAAAGTAAAGTAGAAAAACCAGCTTACTTTCATATAATCTTCCATGTTCTTTTCCTATTGAGTAACCCTGACATAATAGAAAAAAAGAAAATGTATTATAACCAAATAAAGTAACATGTGGAAGACTGCATTCATCCCAGCAATTCACAACCTTGTGAAAATATTACAACCTTGTACCCGATCAATGGTCATTGTTCCCAGATAATTGGCTATTCTAGGCATCTCTGTTGACCAAATCTATTCTTTACATGATGATTTGTCACTTATTATACAAAGTCTTTGTGTTATCAGGAAAACACCACCAATTTCTTTGAAAAGCTTAGCAGAACCAAATGAACGGCTGATCACCTTAAAGTTTATCATTGGTTTAGTTCCTGCCTCAAGTCCTGCATAAAGACATGAAGTAAATATGTATTAATCAAAAGTAGTGTTGTTCGTACCAAAGCATATATTCAATGTACAATGGGAAAGGTCAGAAAGATAAATGACAATGTATACTAAAGGGTACATAAATTTTTAGAACATAAAAAAATACAATAAAATTATCAGATAATTGAAGAAAATAACATTGGAGAATCAATTCTACCTTCATCTATTAGTAGTGAGACTACTGGTACAAGCATTCCACCTTATGAGCTTCCAATAACATAAAATGGATTCGGCAGGAATTCAGGATACTCAAGAAACCACTGTATCAGAACATCATCAGATACAATTAATGTACAGCTCTTTGGGTTACTTATATATTAATACTTTCTGACCTTTAAAATAAATTCATATATATCTGCATTGATCTCAGGGTCATCAACTATGTAGTCATCTGAGTTATCAGCATATGAGAATCCAGTCCCAGCGGGTGCATCAACATAAATCAAGTTGGACACCTACAAAGTAAATTAAACTAAAAAGTTAAGTTTCAATCATAGATGCGACAGAGAGAGGCAATATCAGTATTGGAGAATGAAAGAACTAATCATGAACTACAATAAAATCTCCCTTAAGAACCATTAAAGAAAGGGTCACAAGAACAACAATCCAGTTAAATCATATTGGACACCAATGTAAATTAAACTAAAAAATAAGTTTCAACCGTACATGCAACAGAGAGAAAAGTTTCAAACCATACCTACAACAGAGAGAAAGGCAGAGAAAGTATTAATCATGAAATATGATAAAATTCCCTCAAGGAAAATTAAAGAAAGGGTCACAAGGACAACAATCCATCAAGGGAAAACAACAATAAGGAAATGGTATCTAAAATAATACATTTCAGAGCTAAGAGAATACCAATAAATAAAAGAATGTAAAGCCCTATAAATATATCTGATCCACACCCCTTCTGGTGATAACAGCTACGGGAACATCAGAATAGCAGGATGGATACCCAAACATTCTCAAACTATGTCATTAATAATTAAATTACTTAAACAATCTTGTGCAATCCCTGGATTTCAGAACAGCCACTTCTAATTTTGTTGCAATCATAAAGTACATCAGGGACACATCATTTCAAACGAGAGAAAAGACATCTTGAAAATCGTAGCTCATGGGATTTACATGATTCTTTGCCATGATATCAGGTTCGAATTGATACAAGAAGCTTAATTTGACAGAGTAACCTTTTTGAGGTGATCGTACTTTCATTGGCCACAGAAACAAGATGAGATTCATAGTAACTTCCAAGGAACTGAACATCTATAAAGCAATCCTATTTTCTCTGACATCCCATTGAGCTACTGCCTTTTTGCTCTGTAGGCATTGTGAAAGATCCAGCAACATAGCTCAAGATATCTCACCCTTTCAGAAAACATATATGGAGGATTGACAACAGATAATAATTAAGAGTGTAAACTACTTTGTCTTGTCAAGCTTGTGGGGGGCTGACAGCAATAAAAAGGGATCCCAATTGCCAAGCCATTACTCAAGAAGGCTAGTTATCGTAGCAAAAGATCACAAGATTACGACTATATGGGATCCATATATAATGACAGAGTTGAAAGAGAACAATAAACAAGCGTCAAAGTGGATTTAAGATAGCAATATTGAATTTTTTTATGTGTCAAAGTATCTGAATCTCAAAACAAAATATTCAAAGATTTCTCCTGAAAAAAACACCCAATCATAACAAAATTTAAAGATGGAGGCCAAGACCCACTCCGGCAGTTCCTTGTGCATGTGTGATTTAGAGAATGGTTAACCAATCGAAGGAACCCATAGAAAACCCAAACCAAGAGGGATAACAATCAAACTATATTTATGAATCAATTGAAACTGCAATTAATTATCGCCAAAAAGAAAATTTTAAGGGCATGGTACATTTTGAATTAAAAATTGAAAATGCCTACATCCTATGAGGCTTTGTGGTAATGAGGTATAACCAGGAAGCAATTTACAATGATCTTCTTTGCATACTGGTCCAAATGGTTAATTATGAGAGATATAACCTAAAGAATACCTACTAATTAAGATGCAAACAAGTAATGTTCAAATACAGACATGCCTATTATGATTACGTACCATAGGAAATGATTCCTTATATTTGATCAAATGTGCAAGCATGTTTATAGCACATTAACTCAATCAACACTAACTTGATATTCAAATCAAAGAGACTGAAATAATGTCTCTTGTTATTAAGTATTCACATTCTACAGGTTGATTCGCAAAGTCTTCCTTAGACGAATAGATAATAAATTGCCATGATTAAACCAGAAGTACTGCACATAGAAACCATTCAATTTAGTGCTACCTTACTCCAAGAATATGGATTCAGCTTGACCCTTGCCCCATTTATAAGGTAATCTTCATTGTCATCAACCTTGAAAGGGCCTGCAATCAGATGGAATCAGGAACTAGAAACATATCCAGTGGCTTCTGCAGTTTGAAGAGTATCTTTCTTCATAATGCCGTTTGAAGAGAATTTAAATGCAGCAAATATTAGCCTTCAGGTAAGTAACAGTCTTAAGAACAACAGCAGTTCAAATTCCATTTACTTTTGACACTAGTTCAATCAATGTGTAAGTGTACTAAAGTCAATACTACATACTTTTTCATTTCATAGTCAAGTCAATTTTGGTTCATTGCCGGAAAATGTGATTCCTTGGTATTTTCTCATTTGTTAATGTGGTATTTTCAGTTCAGATGACGATGAGTGCAGTTATCCAAACACTTTAAAGCTAGGAGATATCCTATAGTAGGGAGTTATGCTCTTTTTCAGATCGATTCACATCGACAGGCATTGTTACATGCCCAAACATGATTTTCTCTAATCTCTATAGCATCATGTAAGTGCTTTGAAATTTATTTACTCTTATTATCATAGAATTGAACCAGAGAAAAACTAAGCAAAAAAATAAAGGATTTGACACAAAACTAAGTTTTCTGGTTATTTGGAACAGAAATATGCATAGGCATTGATAATCTGTTTAATCAAAACAAAATGTTCTCATAATATGTATTGCAAAATTCAGTTTTAAGAGGTTTCCATAGTTGAGGTTAGCATTGTTTGGTTTACATTGACTAGTGTAATTCATTGTTTGAACAAAAATAAACATGTTTCTAGCTCATCTTCATCCATGTTATTGATTGAATTGATCATATTCATGTACTCTTTTAATAGATGACTCAAAGTAGAAATGATCTTGGTGCGTTTGCCCATGAGGGCCTTACGCTCCCTACCTATTTTCATGGGAGGAATCCCATGGCAGTATTTTTCACAAGAGAGAGAGAGAGAGCTTTCTAAATGCACCAAACCTATGTAATTTTCACCATGTTTTTTCTGCTCTCGAACCCCTTTATGTTGGGCGTCCTATCGATGGTCACCAATGAAAATATCCCAATAATTGGGTATATGATTTTAACAATATTAAATGACTTGATGCTAAGTCATAAACTTATTAACAAGAGATAACCTCACGTGAAGAGGTTGTGCGCTTTTCAAAAGAGATATCTACATGTGGTCCCTACATGAGGGACCACATGAGAAGATAAAAAGTTAAATAAAGTTGTCAAAAATTCCACCTAGAACATTATAAAATGCCTCATATTGGTCGTTGGGAGTACTCTATGGGTTGGTGGTTTAACCAAAACCTCTTCTTGCTGCATTAAGAAAACGTAAAGCCTTCTCTTAGAGAAATAAGAAGAGAGAGAAAGTTACTCACAAAAATACTTCTTTTAGAGAGAATAAGAAGAGAGAGAAAGTAACCCTTAAAGTTACCCCAAAAAAGACTTCTCTTAGAGTGAATACGAAGAGAGAGAAAGTAACCATTCTTCTTCTCTCTCTTAGAGAGAATAAGAAGAAAGAGAAAATAACCCTTCTTCTTAGAGAGAGAAGCTTGTTAGAGAGAAAATAAGAAACAGAGAAAGTAATCCACAAAAAGACTTCTCTTAGCGAGAATAAGAAGAGAGAGAAAGTAATCTTTCTTCTTAGAGAGAGAAGAAGAAGAGAGAGAAGTCTGTTAAAGAGAGAAATAAAGAATATTTTCTTTTAGATAGGGAAAACCTCCGGAAAAAAAAAAAAAGCCTCTGAGATAGAGAAGAACCTCAGAGAGGGAAAACCTAGAGAGAAAAAAACCATCAATAAGAAATCAGGGTGTCCAAGAAAGTTTGTTTCTTGAAAGAATATTGTAACCATTATTTTAATAGTCAATTTGTCTCTTTTTCCCATGAATTTAGCCTGAAAATAACTTTATTGCATGTTTCCCACTCACACACATCTTTTTGGTATATTTTATGTCCCATATCCGGGTTCCACTGCGCATATCGGCATTCGTACGAGAGAACTCAACTGGGTGAGCCCAACACCTAATATATAGAAAAATACCAAAGGAATCCAGTTAAGCATCCCCTTTAATACTCTTACCCAGAAATAATATACTCAAAGAAATACTCTTACCCAGAAATAAAATACTTAAAGAACGATAGTGGCATATTATTCACCGTTTGATATTCTCCCTCACAAGTTTCAATATTACACCCCCTTATTTTCCATCAACAAGCAAAGAAAGTGCAGCAAGCTTCCATCCATTTTCGCTGTTTGTTTCTAAACAATGTTTTGGCAGCCATAGAATAGAACACGCAAATGTTGTTTCAGTATAAAACATCTTTGGAATTGTGTGAAAATTTATTATCATCTCTAATTATAAAATTTAAAGCTTCAAAAGCAATGTAGAGCAAGCAAATCTATGAACAGTTGAAAATCTTGAAAACTGTTGCTCTAGATAATGCATATTATATGAGGTACCATTTCCAAAACTTGAATTTGGAGATCAAGATGATCGGATCTGAGGTCTTTCCGCATCGGAACAACTTCTTCTGATGAATTTTTGAGTTGTGCCTTAGTTTGATTGTTTAGGGCCTCAACTTTATACAAACCTTTTCCTTATATATAGCATATATTAGAAAACTTTCTTATACCTAAATAAGGCTCACCCTAGACCTGCCATTTATTCACTCTCAAACCAGCTTAGACCTTGTCATCATGAATTCAAGCCAATACTAAAATTAAATTTTTGGGTTTAGGCTGGCCGAGGCCTACCTTCCACCTTTTCGGGGTCAAAGGAGGCCAGTTAGCACCCTTACCCATTGGTGGCATTACGCTTCATCTATTGTTTTATGTCTACAAGTCTCGTATACAAGGGATTTAACAAGAAGTGTAACATTAAATAATCAAATTAAGGCGTAGCTCCAAACTTGTTATAAATTTTTAGGATGGCCCTAAAATCTATTTGCATTTCTAATTATAAAATTTTGAACTCCAAAATTAGTTTGATTCAAGTAGATATATAAATGCATGAAAATCTTGAAAATAGATAGTCTAGATAATGTGTTGCAAGATGTACTATTTTTCGGACTTGGAGTCTTTTTCTTTTTCCCTATCTATACATTTAGATATCAAGATGATCTATTAAATGGTTTTCCAATGTCAAACAGCATTTTCCAATGGATTCTTGAGCACTTTTGTATATATATTAAACCCTTGTTTAAACTATAGTGTATATATTGATCCAGCCCAAGAAGCCGAAGACATTCTCCAAATCGGCCAAAAAATCCAAATGCTTCCCCAGAAGATGATTCCTCCAAAGCAGATTAATGATATTGCTTTCTAGTATAATCAACAATATACACTAAAAAATCCATTGGAGAAAGCTATTTTGACATTGGAGAACTATCTAATTGATCATTTCAACATCAAGATGTATGGATATAAAAAAAAAAAAATGGTTTCAAGTTGCAAACAAGGTTTTGCTAAGGTACTCCTATACATAGAATATTTCTTTAATGTACTCACCATTTTTAGACACTTGATATCCACTTCACAAAGGAGTAGTTTTTTGTCTAGAGGTATTTTAGGTAACTAATCAGAGGTAAAGTAGAAGTTCTTTATGGAAAGAAAAATATTTATTAATTATAGTAGACAATGACATCATCCACATGATGTGTGATATCACCCATATAGAATATTAATTGCTTTTAAACCGCTCATAGAGTGCAACCAATTTCTTAAAGAAATATCTATTCTACTACTCTAAATGATGATAAACACCAGGTTTCAAAAACATTTTACATTACAAAGCAATGATATTGAGTATCCAAATAATGTCGAGTACATTAAAAAAATATTGTATATATAGGAGTACCCTAATAAAACCGAGACATGGGTTTTGGTAATTAGAGCTATATACACTATAAACAATGCTCATTAAAGTGATAATGGTTATAGCGCTTGAACCTTCCGGTGAGGTTGCCAACTTATTTTTAAATTGAGAAACTTATATAAATATTTTATTTTAAACATAAAAATTAAGGGAAAGAATTGAACTTCATTTCTACCGTCTTTCACTCGAACCAAAACCTCTACCCCTGCACTATCAATTCTATAGCCTTTCACTCTAACCAATACAACATTTCAACTCAATCATATTATATACATCACATATTACAATTTCCATTCTCTTTTTCTTTTTTTTTAATTTGGTTGGATCACCAGTTTTGCCGATTTGAGCGGAATCGGTGGCGAAGGATCCACCACACCAATCTGATTTTTAGAACACTGATAAGAACCATTTTCCAAGGCTGTTGCTTTTCGATAGAATGTCTTAATTACATATCCCATTGCCTTTGCAACTTCTATCTTCATCGTCGTCGTTGTCAAAGCCTTTTCCCAACTAATCACGGATGGTTACATGAGTCCTGGTTTGTCATTCTGCTCTATTAAGGATCATGCCCTCGGTGAGATCATAAGTTATCATATCTTTTCTCACTACTTCCAACCATATTCTTTTGGGCATATCCCTTTCTTTTTTTTTAACGTTCCAATTGAACTAACTCGCATCTCCTAATAGGTGTTGTACTAGATCTGCACTGCATATGACCAGCCCACCTAACTCTACTATCTCTCATCTTATCCTCTATTGGTGTCATACCTAAAATTTTTATAATATATTCATTTCGAACTCTATCCCTTCTTATCTTGTCACCCATCCATCTCAAGATCCTCATCTCCGCTACTCATTCTATAGGTAAATTATGTTTTGACTGCCCGACATTCCAGCCCATAGAGCTAAGTTGGTCTTATAGCTGTCCTATAGAACTTGCTTCTCAGCTTCATTGGTATGCAGCAATCACATAAAATTCAGCTTGCACATCTCCACTTTTCTCACCCAGCTCTAATTCTGTGTGTCATCTTCCTCAATCTCTTCATTTTTCTGGATTATCAACCTAAGATATCGAAAATATATTCTTTTCGGCAATTCATGGCTTGTCAATCTTAACAACTTCCTTGTCTCTACTCCTATTATTACTAAACTTGCATTCCATTTACTCTATCT